ACAAGCCTAGCAACTGAAGCGAAAAGCTCGAGTGCAACCTTGAACTCAAGTTCCTTGATCTTCTCTCGGACGAGCTCTCTAATTCGAGGCCGGTGCTCAATTGTGGCAGGCGCGGCAACTTTTGGCATTGCCGGCACGGAAAACTTTTGGGAATTGGCTGGAATGATTTCCCAAACATTGCCTACGAGCTTTGCAGTTGCAGGAGGACATTGAGTTGCCTCAAGCCGGGCCGGTGAAGATTTCTTCTTTTTGCCCTTGCTGCCAGATGATGACGCTGGCTTTTCCTCCTGCTCCTTGGCTGCTTTCTTTGCTTCTTCCTCGATGATCAGCTTCCTATCTTGGGGTCCTAACATCTTCCACAGTTCTGAGTCAATCCCCTCCGGACGCTTTGAACCTTTGTAGTTACGTACAATCCGGTGACCATCCCAATGATGTCCATCTGGAATAATTTCACCTTTGGGGGTCAGTTTGAGATCTGGAAATACGGGCGCTTCGGGTGCATCAGGCTCGACATCGCTGTCGGCTGGTAGAGGCGTACCTGGCTCGTATTCATACTCATCTTGCGGTGGATGCAAACTGGACTCAAGAGGCACAGCTTTGGGTGTCTGCGGAATGACCTGGTCCTCGAGGCGATCGGCTTTGGGTGCTTTTGAGTCGATCAGAGCTTTCAAAGGAAAGATGAAACCCTCGGATGGCAATTCCAACCTCTTTGTTCTTTGGATTGTCAGTGCACCCCAGTTGACATGATAATCTGCGGCTTCCAACTTGGCAACTAAGTATTCACCCTTCCAATCATGACCTGGTTGGATGTAATACCCAAGGAAAATTCCTTCATTTGCTGTTGGGGAGAGCTTACCTGATGTGTTATCCAACCTCTTGGGGTTATTCCAGAACAACACTTTGGCACCAAATGGAATGTGCATTGCAGGGAACTCTTCACCAAACCTGAGTTGCCATGGGGAATCACTGCCGTCAAGCTGGGGGCTTGCATTGATCGCGGTCGCATGATGCTGCATGGCCAATGGCCACATCTTCAAAGGAAGTCCTGATTGCAACAAGTTGCTCCGGGCACCTTCCAACATCTGACGAACTTCGCGCTCAGCAAAAGACTTTGATGAATCTACGTATTCAATGGAAGTTTGGTGTCTGTAACCCAAATCCTTGATGGCCCTGATCAATTCTGGGGAATTGTCAGTGTACACAACTTGAACATCATCCTTTGATCCAATGAAGTGATTCAAACCATCAACACAGCTTTGTGAGTCCTTGGACTGGCTAGGGTAGACATACCGATATTGGGTGTGCAGATCTTTCAACACCAACGCAACTTGCTCCCCCCTGAAACCCTCTTCTACATTTTTCTTGATGATGACATGATCCCCAATGATGTGGTCACCAAACACTTCAGTTTCGATTCTCTTCTGACCACCCTTCTTTCGTGCCTGAGGTGCCATCATCCTTGCTCGTTGGCAAGTTCTGCAAAAGGGGTTCTTGGGGAAATGCGTGTACTGATGTTGGGTACTTGCAGCTTCAGCCAACAGATCCTCAGTCTTGCGGCTTCGGATGTACTCCTGCTGAGCGTCATCCTCCACCAACTCATCCAACTGCTCTTCATCTTGGGCTTCGTCCCGCTTGGCTTTTGAGCTCGACCGTGAGGTCGGCATTGCAAGCAACTTTTTGAGGTGCTTATCCTTTTGAAATTGATCTTTGGGATAAACCTTGCAACTATCATCCAAGATTGGGACATGACCTTCGATCTTGAGCTGGACGACCTTGTCATCTGGACGGACTAGGATTGGTTTGCCATTTGCAGGCCATACGAAACTGTAACCCTGATCTACACATCTCGTTCCTACGGAGAGCACAGCTGGGGTATGATCAAGCACATACGGATGCACGGGATCTGGCAATGCGGACAACTTGACATCAGCAACTTCGTTTGCCTCAGTCGAACCGTTGGCTGTGACTAAGGAAATCGGATGCTCGGCTGCACGGCAGTTCTTGGCACTTACATCCCTCAGCATTCCTTTGGACACAAGATCGGATTCACTACCTGAGTCAACGAGCCAACTAACGCCGGCCTTTGGCGCAGCTGTGGCAATTGACGGGAAACGACCAATGTCTTTAAGGGCTTTGGGACCGCTGATGAACCTGCACTCTTTGCATGTGACATCGCGTGTGTCCTCATCCCAACAACAAAACCCACAACTTGGTGCAACATCTGAATCATGAAGTTTCACAGTTTCTTGGAGCTGTCTTGCACGAACCTGAGCTTCATGCTGTTCAACCTTCGATGAAACTGGAACATCTTCAGCTGTCTTGTACACCTTAGTGAACTCTCTTGGACGGTGCTTGACTGGGACTTGACGACCGACTGCCTTCACCTCGATCACATGTGGGGCCTTTCGGAATCTAAGACGCTTCATGCTGACACTTGCCTCATCAGAGCACGAAGTTGCCTTCGGCTGTTTTCGGACGATGCATGCAAACTTGTGGATCAGACATGGAGCGGCTGTGGAATCCTTGCCCTTCTTCTTGGGAGCGGGTGAATTGGCCCTTTTGGTGTCTTTGGTGGCGGCAGCGGCTTTGTCATCATGTTTATAAAAACATTTGTCACCACGTCTGCACTTTCCCTGGGCATGATAGATGCATGGGGTTTTAGCCATTTCTTCTTTAGACATCTTCTTCCCCTTATCATCCTTATTGCCCCTTGATGGTGAACGTGTTTTGGTTCTTCTGGGTGATTGAGTTCGAGATTTATCATCTTTGACATGCTTGAATGGACACTTCTTCCCCTTATCACAGGTACCCTTTTGGAACTTATAGCAAATCTTGTCGCCTTTGCTACCTCGTTCCTGCGATCTACCGCGACTTGGAGAGCCCTTTCGGCCGCCGCGACCATCGCCTTTGGCGGGTGCGGCCTTTGTGTCCTTAATCCCAGCCTTGTTCTTCTCCGCAATGCGGTTCCTGTTCTCCCTCAATCGTTCACGATCGATCAAGTTCTTCATGGATTGGTGAAGAAAACTGTAAGACTTTTCATGGGATTTCTCATGAGCACGGTCAAACACCTCGATGTCATATTTCAGCAACTGACTTGGTCGGATCTGCCTCAACAAGATGTCCCTTAACACAGCATCATCAGGGGTGACAGCCATGCCAGCTAGGGTAGCATCCCATTTGTTGATGAATCTTCGGAGATCCTGGACAGTATCGCCTACTTTGACAACACCCAAAAGATCTTCTACTCTGTAAAGGCTACCTGCTTCTTCTGATGTCTTGAAGTAGTCCTCAAACATAAGCAGAACATATCTTCCCCTGACCTGGATGCCTTTTCGGGATTGCTGCTCCTTGAAATTCAAGATCCTAGTTGCGAGGTCCCCTCCGGCTGAGCGCGTGAGCGCTGCTGATAACTTTGTATCCAGCGTAAGGAACTTTCCAGGATCTTGGAGTTTCTTCTCCAACTGCTCTCTGGTGCACTCTTGATCGTACACCTCGTTGAGCCAGAGCCACGCCTCATCCGGGCGATCTGAACAGCTCTTCACTTCATCCCTGACATGATTCTTCCAAGTTCTATATGACTCCGGAGCGGGCATGTTGTTCAGCTTGATGAGTTCAGCCTCCTTAGTTTTTGGCTTATCCTTTTCTTCCCTTTGGGTTAAGGCTTTCACCAATTCAATAAGATCTGAGGGACCCATTACTTGCTGTTGCTTGGTTGCGCTCTTGGAGATTCATTTGGGGGAGTTTTGATAGCTTCAGTGGGAGTGAAAAACCCTGACTGCGTTGGCAATTGGGGCTGGTCGTTGCCGACAGCCGGCTTTTGCTTGGGACTGCCACCTTTGAGCAGCTCATCCAACTTGGCCTTTGCTTCCTGCGCCAACACTGCAGGCGTCTTAAACTCAAGAATCGGCTCATCACTGCCTCTGGCAGCCTGTGCATCGGATGCTTTGGGAGTGGCAATATTGAAGTGGGGCACGCTAGTGGTAGCGGCCGGCTCGGCGTTCTGGACGGATGCTTTCGGAACGGAGGCATGCTGCGCTTTGGCAACATGCTTTAACTGCTCCTGAAGATCATCGATTTGGTCCTGAAGGCTAAGGTTCTGAGCCGCTGCCTCGTTGATCTTGTCGGCCATCTCCTTCTTGTAGTTCTCAAACTCAGTCCTCAAACTGATGAACCTGGCCTGATCAATTGCAGCCTGATCTTCATATTGCTTCTTTGTGGCAGCTATGGCATTCTTTGCATGTTCAACTGTCTGTGCATAGGAAGCTTCGAATTCACTAGTGATACGTTTCCTTTCCTCTGCAATTTTCTGATCATGCTTTGTGTTTGCCTCTGCCTTTACATCCTCTATTCTTTTGTCATGCGATGCCTGAGCCTGATTCAACCTGACCTCCATCTCGTCGCCTCGTTTCCTCTCCTCGTTGAGGGCACTAATGGCATTACCTTCAACCTCCTGCAGCCTTTGCTCATACTCCTGCTCCTGCATTACGAGTCTACTTGACCATTCGTTTCGAATTGAGTCAACTACTCCATGCATTATCTGAAGGTGCCTCTGTTCAGCTTCCCTCATGACTTGCAGGGTATTCCCACTAGTAATCTGGGACAGGTTGTTTTGTATGAAGGTAAAGTACGCAACAACGGGTTGGAACATTGTTTCGTCATCCATCGGCTCGGGGTTGCCCCCGGCCATATTAGGCACAGCGACAGCCGATGGACCTGACCCTGGAACGGCGAGAGGATGGTCAATTGGGGTCCCCATAGCAAAGTAGTGAGACTACGGCTGATAACCTGTATTTTACAAGGTCAGCCAACAATTGGGTTAATACCAATGGGGTGAACCTCAAATCCGCTAAGCTGCTAGCTCTGTTTTGAACCAACGCTATCGGGCAGATCGATGATATATACAATACATGGTTTTACTGCAGGAGTTTTTACAGTTCCTCTCATCTTCCGATGCTCCGATTTCGAGTTTTCATGGGCGCAATGACAGCAATGCATCCGACCTCAATCGAAGACTCTGAAGACTCAAGCTTCTTGTATGTCTTTTCGATTCTCTTGGTCCAGGGTCGAGATCCTCAGCGGACTTGAGCTGTCAACACCGTTGAAGAATCATCGAAATCTTCCAAATCAGCCAAATCATAATAGCAATGATGATAATAATGAATATATCATGTAAAAAAAAATACACAGTAAAGAATAAAGAAAAGATAATAGATAATAAAACATAAAGAATAAATCATAAATCATCAAGAATGAATAATCAATACTAAATAATGAATAATAAAGAATAATAAATAAATTAATAAATAAATAAATAAGTAAATACATACATAAATAAATAAATACATAAATAAATAAATAAATAAATAAAGTAATTAATTATCAATAATTAATAATTAATTCTTAATGATCAATAATTACTAATTAATAAATAATAATTAATAATAAATAAGTAATAACTATATATAATATTTAATAATTAATATTTAATGATTAAGATTTAATAATTACTGATTAACAACTAATGATTAATAATCAATAATTGATGAATAATGATTAATAAGTAATAATCAAATCAATGATAATTAATGATTGATAACTGAAAAAAATAATAATCAATAATTAAAATTAATAATAACTATATATATATAATAATTCCATGCGCACCAGTCATCCCCACCACATGTGGCCACCCCCGATCCCAGGCTCTGATCTTCCGAAGGTTTCGAAGCTCCACGCCTGGGAAGGCAGGCATCACTAGGACCAGGCCATCATTGCGACGAAGGAGCTCCAGGCCTGGCCAAGTCACCAGGTCCCATTTTCGCTGGGTCGTGGTCCACGTGGTCCATGGTGCACCAGCCGAAGCCATGGATGTTGAGTTTGTTGAGTTTGGTGAGTTTGGTGAGTTTGGTGGACTTCGTGGAACCTTTTTCAGTTGGCGAATCCCCGAGGTTGAGATGTGTTTGCTGCAAACGTGGCTTCCCGAATTCAATGCTAGCTGCTTCAAGGAGTAGAGTAGCTGAAAGAAAATGATCTTCCAGAAATGGATTTTCCTTGTAAGAATTGTCGACTTCCCCTTCATTTTTTGTTTCAAGCCTGTTACATGGAAGTCAGCCATCCCCGTGCACTTTCTTTCAACAGGTAGACCTGCTTGAATCCAGGAGAAGTTGTTTTGCGTCATCCACAGCACCTCGAGGTTGATTATCGCCAAGTATCCTGAGCATTGTTTTCTGGGTTCAGTGGAGGCAATGGTGAGTAGTAGCACTATACACTGCATTGTAAACCCATAATGACTGCTCATGTCAATTCAGCGGTTAGAACCCATGCAAGTCCCACATCTATTTTTTTCCTGGGTCAATAAGGATTTGAGCTTTCCAGCATGTGATAAATACATGAAGATATTAATGGTCAAAAACCAGTACTTGGAGGTATGTCATTTTAAGTACATTATCTACTCTACCCGATTTCAAAGCCACAAACAAACTAAAAGAGTGTTGACATGCCATTCCAGTGCCACTCGAGTGTCTCTGTTTGCACTTGTCAATAACGAAATAATGGGCCATTTGAACCTCAAAACAAACGGACCAGTTGACAATCTGGCATCTTTTTCGTGCGTCTCATGGCTGGTGGTTGGATGATTCCAATCGCCTCCTCTTCATAATCTTGGTTGAATTCCATGTGATCCACTGACCGATGGCGCTCCTGGCGACATTTCGAAGGACACATTTTTAGGTCCAGGCCGATACCCCATGTGTCAAAGTCGTCCTTCCAACCTTTGTCAGGTGGATGCTCTTCAGGATCAAAGTTGGCAGTGCCATTGGTCGCAGTGACATACCTGAGGTCTAACAGCATGATGTAGTTCCAAATGGCTTGGAATGGTTGCTGTTTAACCATCACAGGTCGGCCAAATCAATTTTCCAAATGGGGAGCTCAATTGGATGCGGACCTCGGAGATCCATGAAATTTGAATCCCATGGGCACGGGGGACCCAAATGGCTGGCCTTCCATGATGCGATTTTCCGAGCGGCTGCTTGGTGTAGTTCACGGCGAACCAGTGGTGAAGTTTTTGTGACTGGACCAGTTTTTCTGCATGGGCCTTCACGAATTTCCATCTGAACAGTGAATTGCAATACAAACATAGACGGACAGCATCAAAAGTTTCCACTGGTTGCACAACATTCCAAATGCTGCCTTGTGACTGCAAGTGGTTTTGGGACAGGTGCCCCATGGGTGTCAATTGCCAAGTAAACATGCGCAAAGTGGAAATGTTGATGATGCAAAATATGCGCGACCTCGAGGTTGTCATTGTCATACAGTAATTATATGTAATTATATAATTAAATATGAATGCAAACGAAATGCATTTGAATAGCAACACGCATTCAAAATGTTGTTTTGATGCAAAATTGCATTGCCATCAGATCATTTGCAGAACATCTGCTGTTCAGGGTCAGTTTACATTGATGGTTTGTCAAACACAACCCGCAACTCGAACCAGCGCGACTGGAACATGTTTCCGTTCATTCTTGCAGTGCGAGTTACTCGCACTGCTAGTTCCTTTGCATGTTCAGGCTGAAGTATGATTGCCAAGCAAACCCCATCATCTGGTAGATGGCATTGGTCCTGTCCATGATCAACAAACACAAGTTTGACACTGGCCGAACAAACAACACATTAAAATTCATGTCGTATATCAAATTGTGTGTTGTTGCACAAATTCGGCCTTACCTCGCTTGAGCATGAGTCCGCTGAAAATATTCCGATCCTGCCCATCAAATCTGGATGTGAACAATTTTTGTTTTAGGCGTGTTCATCCTACATTAGTTGTGAAATGTGATGGGTGGGGAAATCCAAAATCAATGTTTGCAAAAGAAACAAAAACACGTGTTGCCAAAAATTGCCTTAACCAACATAGTTTGTCCATGTTTGTCCGTGTTTCAAATCTAAGTATTCGGATGAGGCAAGGCACAAGAAATGGGCCGCCAATGCGAACCGGAAAAGCGACCGAACATTGCTTCGGTCCTTTTTGTGCATTGATTGTGTTGTTTTAATATGGTTGTTACAAAACATGTCAATCAAAACTCAAAATACATGATTGATGTTGCACTGCAAAAAAAACAACACCACAACAACAGTTTTTCAAAAAAATGTTACAACACTGTTGTCTTTCTCCAAAGGCATTTACGCACACAATGCGGACAGTCCTAACGTCGTAACCGGCGACATTAATACAACCAAACACTGTTTTTCCTGCTAAATGTGAATTTGCGAACTTGGAACCATATCAAAATCACCCGTACCCATTCCGTTCCATGACAACTTTATACACAAATCCACCATGTCGGAAAAATTGCAAAGTGGACAGTGTGTTCGTCAAAGCCGGCCACAATGACGCATCCACAGAAATCTAAACAAACAAACAAACAATGTGACATTCATCAAACTAACAATGCAAGCTGCAACCAAAATTGAAATATCAACGGTACACGTCTGGATTGTTTTTGGAAATGTTGACGACCTGGTCCTGGTTTCAGTGCGCAAAAAGATTCACATCGTCAGTGCACCATAAGCCATGTTGACCAACATGTGCTGGCACAGTTTGGAACAAATTGCGTGGAAATTGGAAACGAACATGCTGCGCCCAAGTGAACCGGAGGGCGCAACATAACACGACACATGCAACAATGCCGCCCAACTAAAGTTATATATATATATATATATACGTGTTTAAAAAATGTGGGGAAACGTTAATGCACATACATACCTATTTTGAACTGCATTACATTACATGACATTACATTTGCCTTGCATTGCTTCATTAACGTTACACTACATTACACTAAATTCCATTCCATTCCATCGCGGTACATTAATTGTATAAATTTGCATTAAATTACATGGCATTTGCATTGCAATACGTTAATTTACATGTGCATTCCATTACATTACAATTTGCATTGCGTTACGTTACATCACGTTACGCTACATTAAATTCCATCCCATTCCGTTGCATTACATTTGCATTACGTTGCAATGTTATGCATTGCATTGCAGTACATTCCATCTACATTGCATTGCATTGCGTTACATTACATTGCACTGAACTACACTACGTTCAATTACATTACATTACATTGTGTCAAATCACGATACATTACATTACATTACATTACATTACCCTACTGCGCTACATTGCACTGCTGTGCAACGCAGTCCACTGGCATTTGCATTGCATGGCAAACATACATACATACATACATACATACATACATCCATACATACAAACATACATACAAACATACATACATTACATACATACATACATACATACATCCATGCATACATACATACATACATTACATACATACATACATACACACATACATAATTACATTACATTACCTGACATTTCATTACATTACACTACAATACATTACATTACATTACATGCATGCATACATACATACCTACATACGTACACACACATACATACATACATACATACATACATACATACATACATACATACATACATACATACATACATACATACATACATACATTACATACATACATACATACATACATACATACATACATACATACACATAACGTAACATAACATTACATTACATTACATTGCATTGCATTGCATTGCATTACATACATACATACATACATACATACATTACATACATACATACATACATTACATACATACATACATACATACATACATACATGCACACATAAGTACAAGAATCCATGCATGCATGCACGAATGAATACCACTTTACCTAATTACGCTGCATTACTACAATGAACTACATTTATGACAACTTCAGCTAGCCACACATTGGAAATCCAAAAATATGTTTTCAATTTATTATCATTTTCATCATCACCCAAATCATCACAAAATCATCACCTATTTTGTCGAAACCGTATGAGGTTGGTTTTCCATCGTCACGGAATATTCCCAAAACATGACTTTTCGCTTGTTGCAACAAATCTTGCCAGGGTCGCGAAGATCACTGCGGCAATCGCACCGGTAATGGCGAAAACAAAACCAAAGGTGCTTCAAGTTCGAAGAATAATTCAATTTTGTTTTTAATTCGAAAATAAATTGAAAATCGTATTTGGGATTGGCAAATAATTCGAAAATAAATTGAAAATGTCTTTTCGGTTCGAAAATAATTCGAGAAAAAATCGAGAAAAAAAAACGCCCAAAAAAAAACGGGAAAAAAAAACATGTTTTTTGCAATTTTTGGATTGTCAAATTTGATTCAAAAACGAGAAAAACCGACAAGAATCGAAAACAAAAACGAAAAAACAATCGACAAAAAAACGACAATTTCTGAATTTTGCCTAATTTGACGCAATTTGACCCTTTTTCCAGCTCCTAAAAAGGGCCACAGCAGCTCTGGAGCCTCTTCTCCATGTCCGAGGATCCGGGCGACCGTGATCTTTGGCGAAAATTTCAATGATGATCCACATGAATTTTCTGAATACACAAAAACAGCTGTCCAAGCAGCCGAAGACTTTGAGATGATTTTGGTGATAGCCAAAATGATGATTTTTTGAAAAATAAATGTTTTTGTGGGTTCCAGCCTGTGGCTTTCAAATTGTCATAAAACTACACTACCTTGCCAAACCATACCATGCCATATGAAACAATACCATCACAAAGCATTCCATGCCATTCAATGCCACGCCATGCCGTGCCATGCCACCCTACATACCGTACATACGCACATGCATACATGCATACAGACAGACACACATGCACACATACAGACGCACATGCAGACACACAGACCCACATGCAGGCAGACAGACAGACAGAGAGGCAGACAGACAGACAGGCAGACAGGCAGACAGACATCACATTACATTACATTACATTACATTCGTTAAATTGAATTACACGCAAATAATGAACGTACATTCTTACCAAACCAAAACATACCAAAAATGGAACCTGAAAGCGTACATGTGCTATCAGCTGTCTCCGTTCACTGGCTCCAATGTGGCGATTGCGATGCAGCACGACCCAGGCAACATACAACACCAGGACAAATGTTTTTCCTCTTGACCAGGTGCAGCAACCCTCTCCCCTTAGACTCCTGACAGGTCTATTAATCACATGGCGGATTGCGGATCAGCTGGTTTGCCTTAAAAGAATTTTACTTTATTCCGAGAAGATACGATCCGCCACGCAGGCCACGCATTATGAGGATAATTCACCCGCGGCTGAAGATCATGATGCTTATAAGACACTAAACGGGGAAAAACTTTCCCCCTCCTGATGTACACCAATCCTTCGCTACTCCGCGCTCCTCCGCTACTCCGTGCTATGTTTTAATTCAATTACCTAATAATGTAATTGAAATGATATATGACGGACTAAGCAAGCCTTCAATACTTCACCTTCCAACATCTTTTTTTAAGCAGATTCTCACTCCATCCCGTTTTACTGTAGTTGCAGTTGCCGTACGCTGGTGCTGTGCACCACAATGCTAAAAAGCTTTTCCAGACCTAGTTTTTTTAGATTGCACCAAGGGGCAGCGTAAAGCCGTAAAATCGTAAAGTTCTATTTTCTTCAAAAAAGCTCTTTGATTTTTTAAAAAATTGCCAACTTTACACTTTACTACTTTATGGTTTTATGGTTTAATGATGCGATTTTCCATCTAAAATCTAAAACCAAAGGTAACTGAGAGAGGGCGGAATTCAAAAATAGCCACGAACTTTTTCGCAAGACTAGGAATATGGTGTTTTGGGCTTGTTCCCGCTTCATCCTTTCCCAATGGGTGAAAATTTTATCTAAATATTTCGCTGGTTTTGATCTTGGGGCCTTCAAGAACGCCGATTTGAACCGGTCGATCAGTTCTGAAGAACAAAAGTGACGGCGCCCACCAGCAAAAAGAACATTTATTGAAGTGTGCTTTCAAGTCTTTTCCTGGTCACTGTTTTTCTGTTCAAAGTATTTCAGGGAAGCTGCTTTTGTCTGAAGGCACGATTGCCTGCCAGCAGTGACGACGACCGTAACGTTTTCTTAAACGCCGCGCGTATGCGACTGCAGCGTGGCAATGAAAAAACAAAGGCTATTGAGTAGACTTTGCGCTGCTTGCCGGTGAATGCCTGATGCCATTTTCTGCTTCCATTTTTGGTTGCGCTTCTTTCTATTTTTCAATAGATGAAGCCACTTTTTGGCTTCATTTTCAACATCAGCGCTTGGCTTCAAACATGTCATTGACTATGGACAAAATTCCGCAGTTTGGGAGCATGTCTGTCATGAAGGTTTCCAGCGCAAGAAGCAACCAGTGGTGGTTCTTGACATGTCCCAAGGTGATAGCACATGCAAATCGGTTGATGGATGCTGCCTGTCGTCCATCTCATCCTGTTTATCAACATCCGTGTTTCCATACGCGCCTGCTTTCCAATCATTGCCGCGAACCACAAGGTGAAAATGACTTTAAAGAGGGGCCTTGATTTGATACTTTTTTAGACCTGACACGGACATAGACAGTCTTGACATTCTTCTTGTCATGTTGCTGATTGAAATATTCATCCATTGGAAAAGGATGAAAAGGGAACAAGCCCAAAACATCCTTCCTAGTCTTGCAAAAGAGTTCGTGGCTATTTTGAAATTCCGCCCTCTCTCAGTTACCTTTGGTTTTACATTTTAGTTTGAAAATCGCATCATTAAAACATAAAACCATAAAGTAGTAAAGTGTAAAGTTGGCATTTAAAAAAACAAAGAGCTTTTTTGAGGAAAATAAAACTTTACGGTTTTACGGCTTTACGCTGCCCCTTGGTGCAATCTAAAAAACTAGGCCTGGAAAAGTTTTTTAGCATTGTGGTGCACAGCACCAGCGTACGGCAACTGCAACTACAGTAGTTGCAGTTGCCGTACGCTGGTGCTTTTTAAAAAATTGCCAACTTTACACTTTACTACTTTATGGTTTTATGGTTTAATGATGCGATTTTCAATCTAAAATGTAAGACCAAAGGTAGCTGAGAGAGGGCGGAAT